GGCTCCTGCGGCACAGACTCGGCCGTTGGTCTGTCTGTACCGTCCTCTGCTGCAAGCTCTGGTGGGTTTTATCAGTATTTTGTTTTTTTCCAGAGTCTAAAGCAGTGTGCTGCGGTTCCTTGCCGCCCGAGTGCCTGATAAATTGGAGACTTGGCTTTGTGTGCAGAGACCTAAAGGGCCTTTGCGCTCCCTTCCCTTCAATGCCTTTGCAGTAGCGCTGGGCGAGCCGTGCCAGGCAGCGAGGCAGAGCTGCAGCTCGGCGATCTCCAGGGCGCCATCCTGACTCCTCCGTCCCCATCATCGCGTGTGTCCACCAGCTTTCACCGCAGGCGCCATCCTTCTGTCAGCAACGCGCTTCATTCGTCACAGCTGCGGGGCTCTTGGGTGGATGCTAGAAACACACAAACCGGTGAGCTCGTTCTCGGAGTCTTCAGCGGACCCGGGAAACCGAGGGCCGCTGACGGATCGCTGCCGAGGCCTTCGCTCAGCCGAGAGGAGGGGGTGATGGCCGGCGGCCTGTGCCGGGTGACAGGGGCGCCGAGGTGAGGGAGGGGCTGGGGCTCGGCGGGGGAGAGGTGAGCTGGCCTGGAGGGAAAACACAACGGCGGACAACGGACTGCAGAAACAGGGGAGAAAATGTTAAAAACAGGGTGAAAGAAGTTCGTAGATGGAGTGAAAGTGGGAAAAAACGATAAACTGGAAACAGAATTGCAGTTTTTATTTAAAAAGCAAAGAAGTGTTTGAAACGACAGGTGGGAAGAAGTAAATAAATAGGAGCTCTGGAGATGGGGACAGGGAGAAGGGGAAAGAAAAATCTGAGTTGGGAGTAGAAGAAAAAGCAGTGTGAAGAGCAAGAAGGCAGGTGACAGGAGGGAGACGTGTGAGCTCCTGGAGGAGCGGCAGTGGTCATCTGCATGGACAAAATGATGTGGGAAGTTACTGCAGTACAGAGGCGAGGAGAGGACTTGGAAATCTTATGAGGGAAAAGCGAAAGCATGCGTGGTTATTTTTTTCATCTCCCTGGCAAGTCCCAGTTTGGCCATGTTTGCGCCCTGTCATCTCTCTTCTCGTGAGCGCTGCCAGCCTGCCTTTCAAGCGTGTACGTGAGGCTGCACGTTCGACGGTCGGAGCCACGTTGCCTTGTCACAGAAGGGAAAGATGGGGGCATTTACCGGTTTTTACATAATTTCTTACTCTCTAATCCTTCAGGAACAGGGGGAGCTTTCAGAGCTTGTGGGGCATTTTGGGCCAAGACATGCCGAGACGGGCTGTTCGAGGCAGGTGCGGGAGAAGGGGCTTTCTTAACACGTGATCGAGGGTGCCAGACGAGGAGCGTCACCCCGTTTCCCTCCGGCAGCGCCCCGGAGCAGCGTTCCCGCGCGGGAGCCCCGGGGGGCGCAGC